ATGGTTTAGTCTGGATATTGAATATCTAGGAATGTTTGATATTGTATTACTATGTGTTGTAGAGGTGGAGATGTATGTACAATTGATTTGGAACATGGAAGGTGGACCAATTTCTCTTGTGCATGGTTGGAATAATATGGATTTCGGTATTGTGTTGTATGAGTGCTTTATCGTACACCGTTAAGAAAAAAAAAAAACGGGGTGTTACAATAAGCCTATAGTTCATATATAAAGTCAGAACTGAATTAATATGGTGGTAAAAATAAAGATATTAACAAGTTATTTTATAGGGTGAAAACTCAAATAAATAAATAAATGAAAAGGAAGAAGAAGAAATAAATTGATTAAATAAACTTATAAAGTCAGTAATATGTTCAACGTGAATACAACCTACAAATTAAATTACTGTTGGATAAGGGCATTGACTCTACAATGAAGTCATTTGGCAGCCTTTGGTCTTTCATTACAAAGTCATACATTATATATGTATACATATATACACACACACACACATACGTATATTGACAACCAATTATTATCTTCCATAATTGTAGTTTTCAAAGGGTTAATTTTCCTCTCCTAATTTCCTCCATTTTAATTACGTACAATTGAAAGGTCGGAGTATATGCATATACATGGATATGTATGCACACATACACACACACATTAATTAATTATGTATCTCAGTTTTCTTTAGTTTTGAAGTAGGTTTCGTCATGGGTTGTTAAGAATTATTTTGCTAATATTCTAAAGTCTTTCTAAAGCTAAAATATATTACACGTGTGTCCGTGTGTGTGTATATATATATATAAGTATAGAGTATGATCGGATACATCAAAGTAACCTGCAACAAGAACTCATAAGCCAATCATCAGAATCCTTCCTTTGTAATTGTGTAATTTACACAGAACATTAATAGAATTAGATATATTGACGTCAAATCAAGTCTGATCATACGAACACTAATTAATCTGCCAAAGATGTAGAAATATTTATATTCTCAATAACAGAAAATCAGTGTAAATATATATTTATGGTAAATTTTTAAAACTAAATGTGTTAAGCCTTAATTAGGAATATTAACGTATCGATAATCTTGAATATATAGTAAAATACCTTAGCTAATCAAGAACAAATCTTTTGTAATTTATCAGTACTGGTTTTTCTATGCGTAATTATCAAAATGAGAACTGCAAGAACTTTTTTTCTCCAAGCGTCAAGATCATATGTATATATATGCATACGTGTTTATATATACGTGTCTCTGTGTGTGTATGGTAAACTTAATTAGTCAATGCATGCATGCTATGTACACACGAAGAGTAAATGAACGTGAACATTTCTCTCACATGAAAATACTTCACAAAAACCAACTAGTTAGTACGTAACTACTTTATAGAATATTGAAGACGTGTGTATGTATAGACAATCTTATATTAGAGTTTCCGTTTTTATGAGCTTTGACTTTAAGTTTTTGTGTTCTAAAAGTATTTTAGTACTAAAGGAGTAAAATTTAAAATGTTTTTGGAAAAATTATTTTTTAACATGTTCAAGTAAAAAAATTATAATGTCCATTTTATGGAAAATAATTTTGATTTATACTTAAAATATTAAAAATTATTTTTTCTTTTTTAAATTAATAGTACGTTTTACGGTTGCTTATATACATGCATGTTCATTCCATATATAAACCGATTCTTACATTAAAAAAAAAAAAACAAAAAAAAAAAAAAGAAAGAGATTTAGTGAAAAAATAAAAAAAAAACACAACTAAACCCAGAAAACATAATTATAAAACCTGAGAATCCTAGAGATAAATGTAATACCAAGGAGATTTGTGATTTGTATAGATGATAAAATGTCAATTAAACAGACCCAACAAAACAAGTGCTTTAAGATTCAGAAACTCTGGTTGAATCACAAATTCTTTTATTAGTTGAGTCAGTGGAATCTTTAGTTGTGTATGTGTGTGGTTAAGTGTCTATGTTCCTTTTTTCGGTTCTCTTTTACACATTCTAGCAATCAAGAATGTTGGATCAAGAACAGGTTGTTTCACGGTGACTCGTTCTATCTCTTGTCTTCTCCTCCGGGGAACAACGAGTGCTTTCTCCTCCGGTGTCTGAAAGTGGGTGTACAAACACATGCATGTTCACACACAAGCACGCAAGAGTCAGCAAGTCAAAAGACAAAATCAAGATGTTAAATGCCTAAAATGTGTGGAAGAGGGTAAAGTATTTGCTATTATTAGTATGAAATAAACTAGGATGTTTTTCCATTCATTCAGTTGACCAAAGAGAAAACACCCATCAATAATACAAAGAACTCTAGAAAGGCAAGTTATAACAGAGAATTGCAAGACAAATTTCAAGAATCCCTTTAATTAGGTCACCTAGTAATGACTAACATGAAAACTAACCTACTTTATGTTCACCAGAGCAAATCTGAATCTAGAGAAAGCCCCTTCAATTGCATCATATAAACATTTACTGAAAAAAATAAGTATTAGGTGATCCATAGGACAATGATTTTACTTTTCCAAAACAACTATATAGAAAATAGAAAACAAAATATGGGAAAACAACAATGATAATCAAGCTTCACCACATTACTGACAAGTCCTTTAAATCGTTTCCAGCAAACTTCACAACAGTTTAAGTAGTTAACGACAGAGTGATATGGCTGCTGAAACAGAAGGCATTACCATCCGCAGCACGTCCAAATTTAGCTTACAAAAGACTCCACATAAATAAAGCTCCTGAAGACTTGGAGAAATGCAGAAATATAGCTTCTGTCTGGTATCAAGCAACACTTTCAGGCTGTAATTTCTGGATTTCTAAATGTAAAACAACAATTTCAATTAGGGTAAAAATGTTAGTCAACTTCTTTGGCAGAAATTCAAAAAAAAAAATAACTCTAGAATCTGAAAAGCAATCTACAATACAACACTTATACGAATTTTCTGCCGGAGTAGCAAGTTCTGCACATATGTTTCAGATCTGGGCAATCCGAACCGCTGCTACAAGGTCTACATTACACTACATCAAGCAGTTCCGTATGTATGGATTGAAATTCAGCCTTATACTGACTTGAAGAATTGCAAGTCATTTAGGAGTGATTTAAAGACAAAATACTGCGGTCACTTTATCACACAGGAACTTTTTTACCACTCGAAACAAGGAGACAGCTTATTTAAATTATAAGCAAAAAGACAACACAGTCATGATCATCAGAAACTTGACCCAGAATTATTCACAAATCTCATATTCTTACTGTTCTCAAGAGTTTATATCCTAATTGATTATTGCTAACATAATGAAATGTAAAGAAGGAACACATCTAAAGATGAGAGTAACTCCGTTTCTTTACATAAAGATTTCAATAGCTTCCACTAATGCAGCAACTGATCTCCATGTCAAAAACAGAACCCATTTGTTGGTTTCTCAAATTATGCAGGGTTCATTTTCCTGCATCATCATTGGATTGGTTAACGGTGTCAAACTTCTGCTTGAAGGAGTCCTGCCTCTGTAACCACATCATGTGCCCCTACAAACAAGAAATTCACATGTCAAAAATAGAATCAAAAGAAAGAAAAGAATCCCGAAATCCTACCACTAAGTAAATCATGTCCCTTTCAGGAAACTACCGAGAAGAAAAGAATCCCAAAAACCAGTATTAAGTAAAGAGAAAAAAAAGCCCGACATTTTTGTGCTTCGAATTTTGAGAAATGGGAAATTGTACCTGGAGAGCAGCAGCCCAGGCAATGAGGAAAGAAGCAAACCAAAATTTCTTGTCCTTGAGGAGAGCCTTGGCGTCAATTTTGCCCATTAAACCTTAACCCTAGAAATTTGCAGTATGTTGACGTTTTGTGACTTGGGGAGATTTACAGGATGGTCTGAGGTTTGGGGAAAATGGGTTCCCTCCAGTTTCTTACCCTCCGGTTTTCTACAGCTTAAATTTCATATTTGAAGATATCATTTTTAATATTTTACATTAACTTAATAATATAGTGAGATCTTATTGCTAAATTTATTTTTTAAAAAATTTGAATTTGGAAGTGATTAATAATATGCTAAAATCATCAATTAATTTTATACACTACTTAATAAGTTATTACATAGTATTAATTAATTATATAATATCACTAAACTATTATAAAATAGATTAAAAGTTTAAATTTATTTCCAATCTTTTAAAATTAATCTAATTTGTGAAAGTATAATTTTTGTTTTAGTTATGAAAATATATATATATATTTTTAACAAATTTAATCTTAGATGAAAGTTAGACAATATTATCTCTTGTAAACGTAATAAAATAGTTAATTATATTAAAAATTTAAATTGATATTAGAATGAAAAATATTTATTTATTATATATAAATTAATATATTATTATTTTTTTATTTATTACGAATGAAAAAAGAGAACAATAGAATTTTTAAGATGAACAAGATCTCAAATAAAGTTACATTGGTCTAAATATATCAAAATCGATATATTCTAGTGCATGAATTAAAATAATAAATTTTATGAAACTCTTATAGATCTACCTAAACAATCGATCAATATAAGAGTTGACAAATGTAAGAATGAACAAGTCTTTAAATTATAATTTCATATCTATAAATAGATCATGACAGTTATTGAATGGTGAAGATACTACTTGACATAGAAGAGGGAATCAATTTCTATGACGAGTTTACGAATACCATAGTTCCAAATAACCTTAAGACCATGAAGGACACCATGAACCTCAACATGAAACGCATGGTTAGTACTCAAATTACTTGTGAAATCATTACCCATCGATCCAGATTATCTATAACAAAAGTTCTTAATAATAGTAAAACGAAGATTATTAAGAGTAAATTCGTTTGTATTAAATTTGTACCACAACAAGGGGTGGTGCTCTCCAGTTAAACTCAAAGGAATCTAAAGAGGTACTCAAGGGACATGTTGACCATGGTCCCCTGGTAGCATTTTAACACTCAAATGTAGACTCAATTATGTTTTAGTTGGAATAGTTTATTGATTTACTTTCTCTGCAAATATGTACTCATTTTTTTTTCTTCAAATGATCCAAGAAGTTGTGGTAAAGATTGTCTTCCAGTTTGTAATACAGTGAGAATTAACATTTGTTTTTAAATTTCATACCAACCATCTATCAAATGGAAGAGAGAAAAAAATAATTTCTAGAATATTGGTTATTAATTAAATAACTGCAAATATTTTTAGCAAATAGCCAATACCGAACAACATAAAATGTACATTTTGTTCAATTATTACATCTTGAATATATATTGTTATCGACAATGAGTCATATTTTTTTTTCATCATTCGTGAGTAAATAATTAGAATTTAAAATTCGTATAACTTGATGAACTTACTGAAAAACTGGCAGGATCCAGATTGTCTTGTCTTCATATATAACTCATTAATTTGTACATAAGAGAAAAAGAAAATATAGGCAATCTTAACCCTAACTCTGTTATGGTTGGGGAATCAAGATCGTGAAATCATCCATCAGTAGGATCCATTTGCAAACATATAGTCCTCAGACAGTTCTCTCAAGCACATCAATTAATGTTTTTGCTCCCAATCTATCAATCCATGAGAAATGTATGTTATATCCATTTCCAGTATTCTAAAGATTTTAGATTTAAGGGTCCTAATATATTTTATAAGATTTTTTATGTCGAGTAGTCTTTCGGGAAGGGAAGAGAATTTCTAATATTCAGGAGACCCCATAAGTGGGAAAGTATTTAACATGAAGAACTTGGACTGAGACTATCATCATGTTCATTCAGGAGCCTCCGACTAAATTTTAACAAGAATGATTTATTCTGGAGATGTATTTTCTTGAAATCAAGGCCCCCAACCTCCTTGGCCTTGACAAATCTTAATCCCAATTCATCAAATGTATTCACCTACGCTTGATGGGCGAAACACAATTAGATATGAGCGAAATTATTTTCTCAATCTGAGTAACCTTCCATATCGGTAATGCTTAACAAGCAGTGATCTAAAAATCCCATTTGAATATATCATACACGACCTTCCATACCCTCATATCAGCAAAGCAATAAATCAAATGACAGATTTGTGTAATACATTCATTTCAAATTCATCCACATAGTCTTTACCAAGCCGCTAGAATGATTAAATTGCACAAGTTTTACCCATAAAAAAGTGCAAATAGAATTCCAAAAACATAAACCAAATTTGCCTGGGACAATAACAACAGGAAAATGAAACTAAAAGAATCTAATATCAAAATAGAAAAAAACGATCCAAGTCATTATCTTAACAACCTATACTTGCTATTCTCTGCTTAGGAACTTCTTCGAACGAACAGGAGCAGTGGGAGAGGAATGGGAAGGGAGGGAGATCAGGCGTCAACTCTCTCGAGCTCTTCTTGGATGATAGTCTTTGTAGGCTTTGCCAACAGATCTGTATACTCCTGGAATGGAGACTTGGTGAATCGGGTCTCTCTCCAGAAATCAGGTGTCAGGAAACCATATGTCTTCAGGAGACACTCAAAGGTGGCCTGCGTACAATTTTATACAATATAGCATTAGATTATGAGATAACATAATGATGCATGGCTTTCCATGTTAAGCGATAGTTAACTGCAATTTTTCATCATGGAAGCAAACAGAAGCCAGTAAAGAATAACATCAATTGTCAAGCTTAAGCATACTCGAAGAGAACAAAGACTTCCAGTATCAAATTAGAGGTATCATCAGAGTTATAGATTTTTTAAATAAAAAACTCTCCCAGATTTAACAAACATCAAGTCTTCTGATCGTCCAAGCAACTCCCACGTCAGCAGTCCAGCCTCTCAAAGCTTTGAAGCTTCTACCAAAATCTTTTCCACTAAACAAAACTTTATTTGTAACTACAGTACATGTTTTCTGAAATTACAAATACACTTCCTGATATCCATCAAGTAGGGAGGGTCCACTCTACCACAGGACACCCTTTACATACTCTCATCCATAGAGTCCAAAAAATACAATAGATCCAACAATATTCTTCTGTTTGAGACAAGAAAGAACCTCCATGATCCAATTTCCTGAGTAACATAGCCTAACCCAACCTAAAAATTGAAGAAGCATGTCCAAGAACTTTCATGTCTCGGCACCATGTCAGCTGACTAGTACCCTTCACCATCTTCGAAACATATTGTTTGTAACAAAAAATTCCTTTCCTCTTTAAATTTCCAATATGTGAGATAACACAAGCAGCTTCCCCAATATACTTTTAACCCATTTTCATCTAACTGGTTTTTCTTTAGGATAACATTTCATATGAAAACTGACGATGTAGGAAAGTATCTAAACCTTCCCATCATCTGCACATATATCAATCCTTGTGTATGCTCAGCTGTGGTATAACTTTTATTACTGGTATAAGAATTTTTCTCACCCAAATTGTTTTCTTCGCATAATAAGGGAATATATCATCTACATACATACCCGTTAGACAAAATAAGAAGTAAAATGCAATAAAAAGTTCATCATCTCTACGCATATTCGGACACAGCTTCACACGCACTATTACATGAAGAGTACTAAAGGTTCAATGTATCAAAGGCGTCAAAAATAGCAAAACCCAGAAAGAACAATAAATTTCATCAGGCTACAAAACCAGTATCTTGTGTAGTGAATCTTCAAGGTCCCCTAAAAGTGCCGTATATATATATCCGTTTCCAAATCAACAGGTGAATAAAAGAAATAGAAAGATGAAACAACCATTTACTTACAGCTAACTCAAGCAAATTCTACACTAAGAATTGATTTAAACAACAGAAACTCCGAGTCATAAATCTATAGTATATAATCAGTAAACATAAACTGTAAACTGTATTGCAAGTCATATAAACCTATAGTACCTAATCAGAAACATAAACTATAAACTGTAAATCAGTACCTTGACAAAATTCCCAAGAGTTTTCGTGGATCCCCTCGACGACGTAAACACATCCTCAATCCCAGCAAACTGGAGCACTTTCTTGGGAACCCGTGCAGCCACGATTCCAGCACCTCTGGGTGCGGGCACCATTCGCACAGTAACCGACCCGCACTTACCCGTAACCTTACACGGCACTGTATGGGGCTTCCCTATCTTGTTGCCCCAATAACCTCTCCTCACAGGAATTACAGACAACTTGGCGAGGATGATGGCCCCCCTGATTGCAGTAGCCACTTCCTTCGAGCACTTAACACCCAAACCTACGTGCCCGTTTCCGTCACCTACCACCACGAAGGCCTTGAACCGGGTCCTCTGGCCGGCTCGAGTCTGTTTCTGAACCGGGGTGATCTTCATGACCTCGTCTTTCAGGGAAGGGCCGACCAGCTGGTCGATGATCTGGTGCTCCTTGATGGGGAGTGAGTGGAGATATATTTGCTCCAATGAACGGATCTTGCCTTCCCTCACAAGGCGGCCTAGCTTTGTTACCGGTACCCATTTTTCCTCTTCTTCTTTTCGAGCACGGCGCCTACCGCGGCCTCCGCGCGGACCTCCACCAAAACCTCGACGGAAAGCGCCTCTGTCGCCTCCTGCACCACCTCTTTCTGCCATGGCTGAGAGTTTCTTCTTGATATTCGCGAGAAGAGAAGAGATGAGACAGCCGCAGGATTTTATACGCGTGTATGAAGAGTAGGATGCTAGGGTTTTGATGTATTTTTTTTACTATAGAATTTATTATGGAGCAATTTGAGTTACAGTAAGTAATTAAAGTATTTTGTGCTTTTTTTTTATTTTTTTTATTTTTCAGTTATATCTATTAAATTTTTTTTAAAATATATATATATATATGTATATAATTTTTTTTTTTTTTAAAAAAATAATAACTCTTCATGTGGTTACAACATATTTTTGTTGCGATTTTTAAGTGTTATTATTATTATTTTCTCGTTTCTATAAAAGAAATGAACAAAAATTTTATTAAAATATTAATAAAATAGTTTACAACTATAAATATATGTGATTGATGCCCCAAACCCAATCCATTTGGTTGACTCTTTAGAACCAAATCTAACCCATCAAGGACCAGCAATGAGAAAATTCCTTACCAGCTACAAAAATTGGATTACTACAAATCAATTGTTTATAAGCTAAAAAAACTGTAAAAGTACATTTTTCTTTATGGTTTATCAGGCATATAATAAAATTAAATTTATCTTCATATTAAACTTGTCAAATAAACCAACATAGCTCAATGAATACTTCCTGTAAGGTAAAATACATAAACCGTTGTAATTTTCTCCTTGCAACAATAAGGGATGCCAGTGAGTCTGTCTGCATGTGATCTGGGAATGACCCAACCCAGAGAACTAGGAAGGATGATCATAATCAAGGTGGCAACTTTCCAGATAAGTAAGGAGAAAGTTTATCTCTCATGGCAGAGGCAGTTTTGTCAACATAGTTGCAGCTTTGTTGTCGATAACCCGAGTCATGATGGTGAAACAAAGGTATCTCGTCTAAAGTTTCATCTTCCATATCGATGACAATGTTGTGCAGCAAACAACAAGCAAGGACAATTCTCGGTAACCTATTCTTATCAGGCATCCACATTACTCCATGAATAATTCTCCACATTTCCTTCAATCTCGCCAATGCCATCTGGGCCACCAGTCTTGTTGCAGAATGTCGTTTGTTAAACTCGGCTTGAAGATCCGAGAGGACTTTACCTTGATAAGGAGTGAGAAGCCATGGCTGAAGAGGAAAGCCTGCATCTCCGACAATATATTCCCTCAATTCAGTTCCTTTGAAAAGCTCTATTTTCTTCCCATTTAACCTCCTCCCTTCTTCGGCAAGTTTGGAAAAACCTGAGCTACGGAGAACTACAGCATCACTTAGACTCCCTGGCCAACCAGCAATTACATCAAGGAATCTCATCTCTGGATCCACAATTGCCTGCAAGATCATACTGTAGTTCTTTTCACGGTCGAACCAAACATCATTTGATGGGTCCATCGTTGGCAGAGTCATCACGATATGTGTGATGTCAATTGCACCACAGCAATTGGGAAGCCCCCTGATTTTCTCAAACTTGGATTTTATGTCTTCCATCTCCGATTCTGTTGAAGGCCAGCGGAGATGGTGAAGCCCTCTCTCTTCCATTGCTTCCACAAACCGCCAGGTTATTTGGGAAACAGTTGATTGATTCATCCCAAAGTAATCACCAATGTTTGATAATGACTCTCCGGAGCTAAGTCTCCTAAGAGCAACAGCGACTTGGTCATTCATAGATAAAGGCTTGCCGTTTATATCAGTGAAGTTTGAATGCCTAGCCATCATATCTTCCTTCACGAGTGAACAAATATAGTTGAATGTTTTCCTTGAAATCTTGAAAACAGATTCAAATTTCTTTGAATCCCCAGATTGAGACAGAGGCCCTAAAAGCAATATGAGTAAGAACCTCGTCTTGCCATGGATACACACAAAAATAGAACAAAATGAAGAGACCATTTGTTGATCCTATGACTTTTACCATCAGAGAATAAAAATTTGAAGCCTCATTGTGCATTAACTGCATGCAAAACTTAAGTTAAAGCATTTAAAACAGGAATTATTGTACCTACCAAACAATATGATAGACAATAAGTAGCAAAATAGGTGTTGGTGTGGGATCATTCAATTAATCCACCAAATATTGTTCCTCCAAATTTAATCCACCAAATATTGTCCCTCCGAATCATGGGCTTCCAAGCCTAGCAACTATAGTGGACAATGTTCGTGCCATATCATGACTGGTAGCATAACAAAACCCTATCAAATGCAAACTTGCAATCAATATTAAAAGATTCACACTTGAACCTTATATTTGTGGCACCTAATCCTTTCTCTTGAAGTGTACAATAAAGAGTGCAACATTAACAAAGATATCAAGGGCAAGTTGGTCATTTGCATAATTATCAGGTTAATGGAAAAGGCAAGTTTAATTACAGAGTAACAGTCATTTTTTTAATATTTTCCTTGGTCACTTGAGAGATGCAAGCGCAGAAGTACTTGTCAGAAGACTCCCTCTTTTGGTATCTATATATAAAATCACAAATAGGATAAACACTTTACAAGCCTCATTAGGTATCTTTCATGATACATTGGTCCTGACTGCATGTTTGAGATCTCTACACTGGACTGTCAGTCTGTCAAACACATATATATTTATAGTTTCTCATGAAATTTAATAAATGAAAGAACAAAGAAAAGAAGCAATCTTCTAGATATGCAGTACCTCTGATGAGAGTACATGATGTATTTCAGAAGGGTATTGCTAGATTGTTAGTTGTCTTACTCTAGCATAACAAAGTGTCTGAAGATGCAGTCAAGTTTTTCTTTTTTGTGGAGAATTGAAGATGAAGCCAAGTTTTGAGTATGAAACAAGGTATAAAATCCAAAGCCACTAGGCGACAAAGGGAATGAGTTGGATAACATATTATCTGAATTCATAGGTTGTCCCTTATCCATACTAGAATACTTAAGAATGCATATTTAAGATGAACAATATAGATTAAAAAAATCCATAAGGCAGTCAAGAATAAAAGTAACTTGCACACAGATCAATGGGCACAAGATACTCTCGACATCTACAAGCCAGTAAATAATAAAAATAACTTGTTACATATAACCAGGAAAACCTGATACATCTCTTCCCCAACCTTCATTGGTCCTTTCAGTTTATATTCTTGCTTACCTTCTCCCAGCAAATTCTTGTTTCTGGACTTCTCTTAGTTCCCACAAGTAAGGCATATTATTTTCACCTAATAAGAAATGACAGAATGTCTTTCTACCCAAGAAACAAATATCTTTTGATCTTTATTTTCACTTAATAAGAAGAAGCGTCATTGTTTTGGCTTTCAATCTATTGAAAAGATAGTTAATATAAAAAAAAATGCAGCCAAAAATAAAACCATCAAACTGAAATAAACTGTTTGTTTAAGTGCAAATGGGGGAAAACTGGAGTGGCCATCACACCATATTAGCAAGTAGATAAAATTCTGAGCTGAGAAATAGCAATGACTTTTGTGTTTCTTTTTCCAAAAGAATATGGCATAATCTTCACACCTAAAATTTATTCTCCAAGAAAAAAGAGAAAAATAGAACTTACATACCTAGGCTATCAATTTTTTTTTTCCTTTTGGAATATATACACAATGAAGTTCCATAAAATTGCAAAACTCAAATGAAATAGATTTGGCAGATAACTGATTGGGAGAGCACCCACTGATGTATATCCAGGGTTTAAGAATGTCAGATGCCACTGAGTCGGTAGCTCAGTTGAGCAACAGTTAAGATGGATGGAACTGCATAAACTGGGTTCTAGTTTATTAGAGTACGAATACGGGCATGGAAATGTGATATGTCTACATGGTCCTGAGGCTAAACTTCTATGGTCCATTAAGCAGGATAAGGCACACCTTCTATAAGAGTTGTTTGTTGGCTACTCATTCTTCAGGCATCTCATTTGGGATTCTTGCATATCATACATGTCATATATGCATTTATTCTTGTATATGTAAATATGTTAAAAATAGAAGCACACAAAGTTATGTATGTTTCATTATTATAAAATCTAGAATAAGTAGTTTAAAACTGGTAAAAGCCAACTTTGCAATGGATCTAAATTCTAATATCTCAGACCTCGCAAATTAGAAAAGAAAAATACTAATACCAATAATTTTCAGTTCTGATTGCCAGTAACACGTGTTGCAAAACTAGAAATCAAAGAGAGAAATCACCATATATAATTCTGTGATTTCTCTCCCTCTCTGTGTATTTCACTTTGGTATATCACTTTATGCAATCTGGGTTACTAGATAACCACATTTCTGAGTGCAGGATCCAGATTGTCATTCCATCTGATCCTGCATTACTGGTATTCCTGGGCGGATAGATCCAGAGCTTCTTCACTATTGCACATGAAAGAGAGGATTTTTTTCCTCTCAAAATTTTAAAAAAAGGTTTTTTTTTTTCTAATTATTACTAAAAAGAATATTAGAAAAAATATATTAGACCCTTGTCCTGATCTCTTCCCATGAAACCTTAACAAGGTTGCTAATTGAGACACAGAGACAACAAACTGCTATACAACTAGACACACACAAAAGAAGATGTATTGCATACCTAAAACAGCAAGAAATATGCACCATAGTGCTCAGAAAATAAACTGTATGCATGTATTCTTTATGCATCATGAACACACTGCCAATGCATATATACGCAGAAGGCAATGTGCATGCTATTGAATCTAACAAATTTCCTAAAATCCCCCATAAACAGTAAGCTCATGCTCTCAAGAAAATAAATCAATATACAGGATTACAGAATTTACATTAACACATTCCACTTAGTTGCTAAAAAAAACCAACAATGCACATACATACATGATCAGACCCCGTATGGATGAAACAATAAAACAACAAATCCACCTAATTGGCGGTAACCCAATTCAATCCATGTCAAGGAATTCAAACGAGAAGGAAAAGAAAATCAACCAAAGGTCCTCGAAACACCATATTAGATAAGTCACCAACAACAAATATCAATGTATGGCAGCACTAAACCTATAAGCAATCTCAATACAAAAATAAGTTCGCGATACACACAGGAGATGGTTTAATAATAAAGAAGTAGAGAATGCTTGCTTTACCAGTTATTCTCTTGGAGAACTCATCCCACCAATCAACGGGGTGGGGTTGGATCCCCATGGAAGCAGAAGCAGATGCACCGGCGGCGGCGGAGGCTGCGGCTGCGGCCAGGATATTTTGGTCAACCTTCTTCTCTGCTTTCTTCCTCCTCTTGAACCCTCTAATGGGTCCCATTTACATAAATATAAAAGGATATAATTCCCAAGAGAGAGGAGGTCAAGGGTCGAATGAAAAATCAAAGAATCTGAAAAGATTTACGGTGACAGAGACAGAGAGAAGAAAGAAAAGAAAGATGAAGATGAAGAGGAAGATGAAGCTGAAGATGAAGATGGGTGGGATGGTAGTCTGTTTGGGTTGGCGGAAAGCGTTGTTTGGTTTCTGGTTTCTGGTTTCTTTCAGGGGATTAATTCAAAGCATGCAGTTGGAGAAGAAGCTGCACAGAGAGAGAGAGAGGGAGAGAGAGAGAGAGAGAGTGAGAGAAAGAGAAATGGAAGGAACCGAAAATGTGCTTCGAGTTGAGTGACGTGGGGGGCCGATTTTTGTTTGAGGGAAAGACAATGGAGCAAGAGAAGTGATGAATGTGGTTTTAATTAATTAATTAACTAATTAATTGTTCCATAATTATTATTATTTAAACAATTTATATTCTAATTTTTTTTTTTGAAATACTTGTCTTTTTATAATTAGTTATTTTTAATAATTTAGTTATTAAATTTAGCTATGGATATATATTTTTTAATCTAAAATTTAGCTATTCCTATATAACAATAACAAATATTTACTATAAATATTTTAAATTCTTAAAATTTTTAGTCAAAAATTATTTTTTATATTGCTTAATCATTAAAGAAAAAAAATATATATTTCTATAAAAAAATTATTAAAAAATTTATTTTAAAACATTTTATAAGTTTCAGTGTCAAATTATAATAAACAGATATTTAAAATTAAAATAAAGTTATCATTAATTATTATAACTAAATAGTTAGCATCAAGTCAAACTGTATTCTATTATAATTTTATTTGAAAATTATATTATGGTTTGTATTTATATATTATCTAATTGATAAATATATATTAAAAATATTTAATTCATACATTAATAATTAAACTGAGTACATAGAAACAAATGTGTAAAAATAAATATATACCTGAAATTATAATTAATTTTCAACAATATTTTTCTTTAAAAAAAGAATTAAATATAAAATAGCATTTTATCTCTCCAATTATTAAAAATATAAACTATTTGCCGTACGTGATTTTATTGCAGCTTATCTTTATTGCTTCAAGTAATATAAATGACTAAAGCATGTAACTTAACTTGCAGTAATTATTTAAAAGTTAAATTGAGACACCCAAATAATTACACCAGTTAAACAAGAACCCAGATTGTTACTTTTAACAATCTGAATTTCTCACAACAAGAAATTAAGCAACTGGTATATCTTACATATAATCCATAAACAAAAAATCAGATCATTTGAACAAGATTAAAGAACTGACCAAATCAATCTTTGCTGATCACTGATTCACCATCCATAATCTTTCTTGATCCGCAAGCAACCAGCTGCATCAGAACCTCAGATGCCTTCATCCTTCCGCTGGGTCGATCATTCACGGCCGTCTGATCTCTGATATCTGCTGACCCATCACCAGTCCCTGCACTAGAATTTGAAGCTGGTGGAGAAACCTCTTCCCTACTCAGCTCCACAACATTCCCACACCCTTCTTCTTCTTCGTTATGATCACTACTTGCTTTCACTCTTCTGGGTTTTTCCTCTGTCTGTGTCGAAACATTGGTGCTTTTCCTGGCAAGTTCTGCTGTTGTTTTATAGACTTTGTATTCATTGAGGTCAGCAGATCGAGTAATGGCTATGGGATTCTTGTCCTCATTGGAGCTCTTTGTATCTGAATTGAAGTTGATCTTCGAGTTTGAAGAAGAAGATACTGTTTCATAGGATTGAAAGCTAAGACAAGTTTCAACTTGTGATCCTTTGAGGATGTATTCATGGCCATGAGATGGGTGTATGAAGTCATCCTCTGACAAGTCTTGCCAGACGTACCCCTTTTTGTAGCTCCTGAATTGGGATTGAATAAAAATTAGAATACATCAAGTTGTATTTGTTTGGTTCCACAGAAAATTTGGACAGGGTATGAAACTTTGTCTCCAATGGAGTCTGGGATAGTTTAAAGAAAGAAGATAAAGTTTTGTTCATCAAATATTACCTCTTTGAAGACCAAGAATACCCGGTGGCCATGCCTCGCCCTCTTAGAGAATTCAGCCTGTCTATAACATCTGAGAAGAGAGAAATGTCATATACAAGAGTACTGATGTAATCTAAACAGTTTTTTCACATATCATTTCACACAAGATTTATTGTCTATGATGATACCATATAAAACAATAAAATTGACAGGAAAAATCTCAATCTTAATGCCTGATTACCTCTTAAATAGAGTCCTTGAGGAGACAAAAGAGGGACCTCGATGAAATGAGGATGTTCGAGCTGGCCATTTCGAGACAAGTAGTAAACAACAGCAGCCTTGTGTGCAGCAGCAGTCTCCATTTTTGGTTCTTCCCAGAACTTGGGTCTTTCAACACTTGTTTCTGCATCCTGACACCCTCTTGATATCCACAGCTCTGTCCTGCCTGATTTTGTGTTGGTTGACATGGATTGATTCAAGGTCTCTAAACTACAATCAGAAGAAAAAAAAGAACTACAAGACCCTCAATCTAACCTCATGGATAAGTGAGATTTCTGTATATGACTGTAAGTACAGATTACTGATATAAGAGAAACCAAGAAGAAAAAAAAACCTGCCAGAAAGTTTTCTTGTTCCAATCAAGAAAGAATGATCACATGAAGTTCTCAAAAGAAGAATCGCACAGCACACCTTTTATAGCAATTTTTTTTCTCTTTTTTTGCTTTTTTACTTTTCCCCAAATAAAATGATACATATTTTGACCCTGTAATTAGGTAGCTTGTCAAGATCAAGAAAAAATTCAAAAAGGTCTAATAGGCATTATAAGCTCACGGATCAACGATGAGGTTAGGGAAGAAATCTTTGTTTTTCAATAATAGAGAGTCAAACTTGGTCTCGTGAAGCCATGACACCCCCTAAAACAAGGAAACAAGTTGACAAACATTGAGGTTCCAAGAACAAACCAAAGATAAATATATACAAAATCTGCAAAGCTCCAAATCAAAGAGATATATCTTGTATATCTGACGTGTTTCACAAGACATTTCTTGCAGAAACTGGTTGGCTTTGTCTATTAATCATTCTGTCTTCATTGCAGACTCAAGTGCAGTGCTGTTAAAGACACAGTAATCTTATTTTACTTACCATTGAATTCCGTACAAATAATTAAGGTCAAACGTACAATTTAAAGTTTCATCGAAATTTGCTTGCACCAGTTCTTGTTTAGATTCATTGATAAAGATTTATTCTCTTTTTCTTTTACAGAAAACCAGTAGGGTTCAATGGATTACACAAATGGGAAGTCCCTATAAAATAATAATTTCAACTTTCTCAAGGTTGCATCCGAAGCAACTAGATTAGGAACAAAATTTTTGAAGATGGATCCAGAAGGGAAACCACTTCTAATTGTCTCTGAAAGCAGACAACCAACATGTTTACCGTAAATCTTTTGAGAAACACAGTTGTGAAGCATCAAATTGATTTTGGAAAGCTCAATGCATGGTAGAACCTTGCATCCCCGTTCAAGTTTCACCAGAATTTGTTGCATCAGCAGTTTGCTTATTCGGGCATGCTGAAGAAAGATGTCCTTTCTGTCCACACTCGTAGCATGTCCTTCTCCTGATTTTACCACTGGTGGGCATTGGATTGCCATTATCAGCTCCACCATCGGTGGGTGTTGGATTGCCATTATCAGCTCCACCATTCTCGGTTCTGCTACTTGGAGGGTCAGCTTCCGAACTTGCTACAGCATCTGCCGGCTCAGATTTTGCACTTGCTGTACTTTTTGTTGGCATAGATCTTGAATGTGTGTTTGCACCTTTCTGGGGAACCGCACAACTTATCTTGACCGGTCTACCACATAAAATCTCCTGGTTCAACTTCAATGCCATCACCATTGAGAAACTGTCCTTGAAATCTACATGTGCATAACCACGAAAGGCCCCTGTTTCCTTGTCCAGACCAAAGCGTATGGATGTTATGCTGCAGTCTGAGAAAAATTTTCTTAGGTCATCCTCAGTCATGTCCCACGATAAATTTCCAACATAAATCCTGTTGTAGCCGTCCACCATTTCTGGGGCGAAATCGGATGATTTTTTCAGTTGAGGTTTCCGGTATTGTAGAATTGTCAGAAACCTTTCACCCCTGAGGCAACATGTTGCAAGTTTCATAAGCATAATGTGGAAATTAGAATAGATAGTAGTTTCAGATCATGCCAGAATATATGGTCAGAATGCTACTTACATCGCAGCTCTATCAAGAGCCAAGGCTCGTTTTGCAGCATCTTCAGTCTAAAAATGCATGAAACAACAGGATCAATTCAATGTCATAAAGAAGTCTGTCTAGCAAGAATTTATTAAAAACTTCAGCACTATCAGATATCCAATTTTACTTTTTCCAGTGCATAGAATTTCCTATATTTAAACTGGAAAAAGAAGAAAATTCTTATAACCTAAAATATGAAAACTTTAGTAAAGTAAAACCAAATTATTTGTCCGTGATCATCCACCATTCCCAGTAAAATTGATTGGGTTACCAGATCAAATGCTTAAGACTAAAT